GCGGCTGAGGGGTCTGTCTCGTCGTCAGACGAGATTACCAAGGTGCTCCTTCGGCGAAGCCCATGCCTGGTCCCCTTGACCGTGGTTTTGACCTTCTTCTCCGGCACATCGTAAGGCGCCGGAAATAGCATCTTGGTAAGAAGTGGGGTTTCTTCATCTTCGGGCAACGGAGCCGGACTATTAATCCGTCCCGCTAGATCGACCCAGGCCTAAAAAAGAAATTGACAAGAAGGCTTAGCATCCTTCCTCGAAGTGTGTCCTTAAAGACCACACCTTGGCGGCTTACCGAATTGGCCTGACGCTTAAAGTTGAGCCCGCGATCTTTGGTCAAGGGTGGCGGCGTCTCACTTCCCTTGAAAAGCACCTTCCAGATATCTTCGTGCATCGTGCCTAAGAGCCTTAGCAACGTCTGGTGCTCGGCCGGATTGAACTCCCACAAATAACAGGTTCGGCGCTGACATGGAAGGATCCGACATACAAGCATGACCTGGATCACATCAACGAGCTTGATCTTCCGGGTTATCATATTCTGGAGGCACGTTTGGAGCCCTGTGATCTCTTCCAGAGATCCCCAGGTCAGGCCCTTCTCCTGCCAGGAGGTAAGCCGCATCGGGACTTCGGAACAGAATTTGGGAGCCGCCGCCCAGTTGGCGTCGCACGGCTCGGTGATATAGAACCACCCCGATTGCCATCCCTTCACCATCTCTACGAAGGATCCTTCGAGCCAGGTGGTATTGGGCATCCTGCCCACCATGGCACCTCCACACTCGGCCTGTTGGCCGCGCACCACCTTTGGCTTTACATTAAAAGTCTTCAGCCATACGCCAAAGTGAGGTGGGATGCGGAGAAAGGCTTCGCACACAATTATGAATGCGGAGATATTGAGGATAAAGTTGGGGGCCAGATCGTGGAAGTCCAACCCATAGTAAAACATCAATCCACGGACAAATGGATGAAGAGGGAATCCCAGCGCACGGACGAAGTGTGTGAGAAACACAACCCTCTCGTGGGGATCGAGGGTAGGGACGATCTGCCCTTTTTCCGGGAGTCGGTGAGCAATCTCCCTGGCTAGATAGATGGCCTCCCGGAGCTCCGTGATGTTCTTCTCCTTAACGGAGGAGGTCATCCACTTGCCTCCAGCTCCGGATCCAGACATGATTAGAGTGTCTTCTCGAGCGAGGAAAAGCCGAAAGCTTGGGCGCTAGAGCTCAAGGACGGAAGGACTGGAGATGAAGAAGGGTGTGGGTAAAGGAAGAGTGTCCTTATCCCCTTATAATGACCACGAATATCGAGCGCCTCCCCACTCGCCTTGAACTCACCTATTCCCGAGAGCCGTGCAAAACGGCACGGTTGGGTTACCCACGCCCGTATTGATGAGAATCCCGTAATAAGGGGGGCACGATCTCCGCTTCGACAAGACGTGCCAATGACAACCGCGTCTCGCAGCATGGAGCGGCAGACGAAAAACGGTTCGAATTACGACCGGACAAACACGATGTCATGTTGTAAAAGCTGTCAGCGGATAAGACTCGTGTAAGAATATATATTCTCTCTGCGGTTATATATGGTGTGTGTGACAGGTCCGGATACAATCATCACATCTGAAGACTATCTTGAAGTTCGGAAAGAAGGGAACCCGCCTTGCAATGCCGAAGACAAATCTGCGCGCCAGACTCCTCGTCATTGAAGCCGGGTTCAGGGGCTACTGAGGGAGTCCTGGACTAAGGGGTCCTCGGGCGTCCGGCCTATTATCCTTTGGGCCGGACTGATGGGCTGTGAAGACGTGAAGGCCGAAGACTGCACCGTGTCCGGATTGGACTCTATTTGGCGTGGAAGGAAAGCTTCACGACCGAAGATTCCTTCTTATGTAACCGACTCCATGTAAACCCTAGATCCCCTTGGTGTCTATATAAACCGAAGGGGATAGTCCGGAAAGGACATCACATATACTCATTACCATACCCACATAGGCTAGACTTCTAGGGTTTAGCCATTACGATCTCGTGGTTGATCAACTCTTGTAACACTCATATTCATCAATATCAATCAAGCAGGACATAGGGTTTTACCTCCATAGTGAGGGCCTGAACCTGGGTAAACATTGTGTCCCCCGTCTCCTGTTACCATCGATCCTAGACGCACAGTTCGGGACCCCCCCGAGATCCGCCGGTTTTGACACCGACAATAAACCCTTCATCCAGCCTGCGATCGAGCTCTCTGTTATTCCCCTTTCCTCTCCTCTCTGTTCTTCCCCAAAGCTCGAGCTCATCCTTCATTTTGCCCAAAATTTGTCAAGATTTCAAGGCCCCCCATCCATCCAAGTGATCACAAAGGTTAGCAACTTTGTCCTTTCATCTATCATTGCTCAATTAGCTCTTGCAATGCTCTATAAGTATAGTGATTTGTGGGTTTTAGTTTAGGAGTAATTATATGTGGTAGTTTATTTGATTTATATGCAATTTGAGCTCAAATTAACTCTTAGTTTGCATATGTAGGTGTGGTTTACTTAGTGCCTTCATGTCCCCGTCCTAACCACCGTCGATCGCCCACACCGTCCCGTCGTGGGCACCACCTGTAGTGCTCGTTCATTACCTGTAATTATCCTCACTATATTCTTTTCTGTGGTATTGCGCAGAATGAAAATGTATGAAATGAAAAAGAGCTGGACGCTATGGCACTGGGTTCATTGACCCAAATACCATTAATGAAGAGACATGGCCGCCTCAATGGGAACGAAAAGACACAGAGAAAAGCTTGCTAGAGTTCTTGGTGCGACTAAATACCCAACCAGAAATACTACTTTCTTACAACTTCGGGTGAGTGACACTATCTTGTATTACAAATTCTGTTTTTGCTTACTAGATGTTAATAAGTATAGTTGATGAGTTATGTACATGCCCGCTTAATTATACAAACGTGTGCGCATGCAGTTTTCACTGGATCCTGCTAATCATTGAAATTGATGAGGAAAAAGTTCAAGTACTGGACTCACTACTTAAAGACGTTAATGACTACACAATCGTGAGGGGGATGGTCGACATGTAATTTCAATCATTATTGAACTATATGTCGGCCTCTTTAGTTCATTTCCTGATATCAACTAATTAATAACTCCTTTATTCATTTTCTTTGCCGGCGGATAGGGCTTGGGAAAAGTTAATCAAACAGGTTGAAGGACAATGGAAACAAAAACTAAAATGGTGTCGACCCAAGGCAATTAATTAAGTAGCTAGTACTAGCTAGCTGCCATCTTTTTAATTCTAGTTTCAATACTATTATCATGCTTGATTAATTATTATCTGATTAAATTCTGTTCTCGTAAAGGCCCTGAAGCAGGCGTTGGGGAATAATTTATGTGCATACTACATTTGCGAGAACCTTCACATGATGACGTCCGAAAGGAGCAGAAATGATAGAGACCAATGGGTACGTTTGCCAAAACACTATTCACAATTTTTACATCATTATCTAATATATATACACACACAACTTTTTTTTGCGAATTCGTGTGACATGGGGCTGGATCTCAGTGGATCGTGGTAGCAAGGCCACTCTGCCACTTATAATGCCCCGTCGCGTATTTAAGACGTCTGCTATATACACACACAACTAATATATGCATATTGATCTCCTTCTTTAAAAATGAGGGAGATGCGGGATAAACTCCTACCATAGGATCGCGTACGAGCAATTCAAGAGAAAATAGCAGGATTTTTGCTCAACTAGGTCTAGATCCCAAAGAAGAATAGCATTACAAGCTCTAATGCCTCCATGTAATGATCTGCAAATTGTAGGAGAAACTGTATATATATACATGTGTATGTGAATGGTCATGCGAGAAATTCGATGATATATAATATATATGATCGGTTCTACGAGAAATTCTATTTATGTATATGCATAATATGTACATTATGTAGTAGCGTAAAATATGTTTGAAATGAAAAAGAATTAAATGAAAAACACAAAACTAAAAGGAAAAATAAATCATAAACCTATAAACCCTTAAACCTTTTAGTCCCGGTTCCCAGCCACCCGGCACGGGCTCGTGCCGCGTGGTGGGCCTTTGATCTTGGTTCGTGATGAACCGACACTAAAGGAGGCACCCCTTTGAACCGGCACTAAAAGTCCTTACGAACCGAGACCAAAGCCTGATTCTACATTAGTAAACACTCAGCCGTCCTGTTGGGAGCTCCTTCAATCCATCAAGGACGATGCATGGTCTGGGCCAGGGCTGGGGCAAAAAGGATTGGCGGCCATCATCCCTACTTAGTGTGTTCATACAGTGTGTCGAGCTGAGCACCTCTACTCTTCTCCTTCCTAACATGTGTCCCGTCAACTTTGTGTACACGACACACGTTGCGTTGTAGCCTGCTTTTCTACTCTTTTTATCAATGGAATGATATGCGATTTGTGTATTCGTGAAGAAAAGAAACAAAGTGAAAAAAGAAGAAGAAAAAACTCATAAAATAATGATGCAAAATAGCCACATTGGTATCCTCTTTCTCAGCCTCAGCCACATTGGCCCAGCAGAAGGGGGGCGACGCGGTCTCCACGATGATGGTGGCACGAAGAAGGGAGAGGGTGCCGCGGACCGCCCGCCGGCCGTTGAGGCGCCGGAGACGGCCATGGGGACGAGGGCACTAGAGCCGCCTATTCGCCATGACTATCGCGAGAGGCCGCTCACCGAATTCAATAATCCTTTCCCCGTAGATGTAACACACTAACACATAGTGTGTGCAGTTATCTGAAATAAAAATCGCATGCAAAGGATTTCTGAGACGAATACAATATCGATTTATTCCTATTTTTACATCTTCTAATCACCTTGCTCCCGTCGTAACGTACGAATTTGGCAATATGCAAGCAACTCTTTCATCAAAAAATACAGATACAACTCATGGCAGCAACATTGAGAAGTCTCCTCAGGGCAAGCTTGGCCTTGGGATCAAACCATGTCGTGCTCGTGCATGCACCATCAACAAAGAAGCTTGCTTTCTTCAGGAATCTGTGTTCTCCTTTACCATCTTGTTGATGAACTTTGGGATCTTCACGTCGAACCCGAAGAGCGAGAGGTTTTGCGGCATCTTCGGCAGGGACGCCGAAGGCATCGGCGGGAACGAGAGGTTCGTCAGCCCCGATAAGTCGGGCATCTTGGGGATCTGCGGCAAGCCCGCCGCTGCGTTGCCCTGGGATGCCCCAGCAGCAGGTTGCCCTGGCTGCTGCTGCTCCTGCTGCTTCATCGCCGCGAGGGTGACCAACATATCTGGCGTCACGTTTGGTGGCAGCTTGTCTGGCGGGATGCTGGCCAGCGCCTCCGGCGGGATCTTGGACAGCATCGCCGGCGTCATGGTGGTGGAGAGGTTGGCCAGCATCTCCGGTGGTACACTGGCTAGCATCCCCGGTGGCACGTTGGCAAGCACCCCCGGTGGCACGTTGGCAGGGAGGTTTACCGGCATGTTCTCTGGCAGGCTAGCAGGGAGGTTCCCCGGAATGTTGTCTGACATGCTCGCGGGGACATTAGCCGGGATGTTTCCCGGCAGGTCGCCGGGAGGGAGCGGCGCCGGTGCACCTGGCTGGCCATGTGGACTTTCGGCCAAGAGGCGTACGGATGTAGAGAGTTGCACCTTGCTGATGGACAAGATGAGCAGGAAAGTCACGTAGCAGAGAGATCTCATCGTGACTTCCCTCATGGAATTGAGGATTCCAAAAACCTGGCAAAATATGGACTAAATTTGCAAGAAAGGATGAAGAACTGTTGCGGGTATATATCAAGAAAGGATTTGACTAGACAAGACCCTAAATTTAGTGAGATGGAGAGCCTAAATGTATGGGGGAACGCACGCTGAACTAGCACCAAAGGCAGATATTTTTAGAACAAAATAAAAGCCAAATATAGGCGTAGCGCTAGATATATGCCAGGTTTGAAAAACGTTGGGCACGGTTAGGAACTTTGAATTATTTGCATGCTGTTGAAGGCAATTTCACATATGTAATTTATCAGGGTTATTTTTTCATGTTCTAGATAGTTTTATTTTTATCTTGTTCTTAAGCTATAATATCACACTCCGACTCAACTGTACTCAATAAGGACCAAACACATCACATGTTCTCAATTGCTCAACAGAATTTACTCCCCAAAAAAAGTTCTCAACATAGTTTGTACGTTCAAAGTTGAGTAAAGAGCATAAAACCATCAAAAATGTGATTAAGTTTCAAATAACCACCACTTAATAACATTTTGCAAACGTACGGGCATTACGCCTAACTTTTGCAAGAAAAAAACTCCAACCACTCAATTGGTCAAAACTGAGCGTCATTATGACAGGTAAGGCATGCATATAAGCGTTGACTTGGAACTAAAAGCCAACACCATTGTTTGACAGTTAAGTTCAACGTGAGGCCCATCCATGTGCAATAAATCGAAGTAGACAGTGCAACACAACTCCTCTTTGTCCACTAGCACCACCTCAACCATGGTGGTTGTTCGGCACGGTGGAGATCGCCAGGGAGGGTCATGCCTGAAATCGAGCAGGCCAATGGAGCTAACAACAGCCAGCACCGATGCCTCCCGTGCTCTTTCGTTGCAGCGCCACCGGAGCTCTCCAACTCTATCCACCCGCCTCAACCCTTTCCTGTTGGGAACGTAGCATACAATTTCAAAAAATTCATACGCTCACGCAAGATCTATCTAGGAGATACATAGCAACGAAAGGGGAAGAGTGTGTCCACGTACCCTCGTAGACAGAAAGCGGAAGCGTTTGTTAACGCGGTTGATGTAGTCGAACTTCTTCTCGTTCCGACCGATCAAGCACGGAACGTACGACACCTCCGAGTTCTCAACACGTTCAGCTCGATGACGTCCCTCGAACTCTTGATCCAGCAAAATGTCGAGGGAGAGTTTCGTCAGCACGACGGTGTGATGACGGTGATGGCGAAGTGATCTGCGCAGGGCTTCGCTTAAGCACTACAACAATATGACCGGAGGCATAAACTATGGAGGGGGGCGCCGCACACGGCTGTGAATCAATATTGTGTGTTCTAGCGATGCCCTGCAAGGGGCGCCCCAAGTAGGAGTAATCCTACTTGGGCGCCTCCTCCAAGTCGGCCTCCCCCCTTCCATATCCATCGGAGAGGAAAGGAAAGAGAGGGGGAGGAGAAGGAAAGAGAGGGCGAAGGGGAAGGAAAGGGGGAGGCTGAATCCTCCCCTTTCCTTCTCCCTTCCCTTCCTTTCCTTCTCCTATTCGGCCTATAGGGGGCGCACCAGCCCCTTTTGGGGCTGGTCTATCCCTCTCTTGGCCCATTAGGCCCATATAGCTTGTCGGGGGTTGTCTGGAACCCCTTCCCGTGACCCGATATGTACTCGGTATCCCCGAACACTTTCGGTGTCCAAATACTATCGTCCTATGTATGAATCTTTACCTCTCGACCATTTCGAGACTCCTTGTCATGTTCGTGATCTCATCCGGGACTCCGGACAACATTCGGTCACCAAATCACATAACTCATATAATACAAAATCGTCATCGAACGTTAAGCGTGCGGACCCTACGGGTTCGAGAACTATGTAAACATGACTGAGAAACCTCTCCGGTCAATAACCAATAGCGGAACCTGGATGCTCATATTGGTTCCCAAATATTCTACTAAGATCGTTATCGGTCGTACCGTAATGACAACATACGTTATTCCCATTGTCATTGGTATGTTACTGTGACGCCCCAAGACCGGAGCTTCAGATGCCTTCCATGTTTCCGAGTGTTGTCGGGTGATTCGTTTTGGTTCGTTGCATCATGTGCATTGCATCCTGTCATCATGTCATCATGTCATAAGTCTTTTGCATCTCAACTAAATAATTTATGTGGATCTTCGATCCATTTAAATCGAGGGAAGAGTGACTTCTCTTTATAACATTATCCTCCTAATATTTAGGGAGCTATATTAAATATTCCAATAATTTGGATTCACCCATAAACACACTTGCAAATATCCCAATGCCGTTGTTATTTTAATTCTTGGTCTCCAACATTGCCATATAATCTTTCATGGAGCTCCACCAAAAATAGGAACATTTTTGGACACCTCTAATTCCTAGTCCTTGTTCAAACCATTTGAATTAAATTCAAATGACTTCGAATTAAAATTCTTGCAATCATGCCTCTCCTATTTTTCATGGACCATGCACATTTTTACGAGTCCGTGAAAATTATCCACATGTCCAACTTTTTCCCCTAACCTCTCTTTTTTTCTTTCATATCTTTGTTTTGTTTTTTTCTTTTGTTCTAAGAGAGAGAGAGAGAGAGGAGGGAAGTCAGCCCAGCTGGGCCTCCCAGCCATCTGCACCTAGGCCCATTTGGCCCAAGGCCATCCCGCCGCTCCAGCCCATCCTAACCCTAGGCCTCGATCCCACATCTCCCTCTCCCTCTCGATCCCTCCCTCGCGCCGCGAGGAGAGGACGCACGCGCTCGATGCCCGATTCCCGATCATCTCCCTCTCCTCGATCTCCCTCTCGATTGCCAGGGCCGCCCCCACTTCCCTCGTTTGTCTCCTCTCTCGCCCTCTCCCTCGTCCCTTGCGCCGCCTTCCCCCATCACCATCGATCCCCACTCCTCCTTTCCTCCACCTCGCGCCCCAGAGGAGCCCCTCTGCCTCGCCCTTGCTCCTCCACGCGCCGGCGACCATGCCCCTGCCGTCCACGCTCCCTGCTGCCTCCTGGAGTGTCACGCCGTCGCCGTTCGTCTTCAACCGCGAGAGCGCAGTCCTCCTACAACTCCGTCCCGTGGCTGCCTCTGTCTGCATCGAGCAGCAGTAGCTCGTCGCCCAGCGACATGGCACCCGCGCCCTCAAGCTCCTTCACCGACGCCTCAAGCCACCACCGGCTTCCCGCACCGCTGCCAGGAACGGGTTTGCCGTCCGCCCAACTCAGGCCCCTCCTGCTGTAGTCTCGCACGCAGCCCTCGTTGACCTTCGAGGCTTCGATCCCCTGCCCGACGCCAAGATCGCAGCTCCATGTATCCGTGGACGCCAAGCTCTCTTTCGGGGACCTCCTCAAGACCAGGAACGTCGTGATCGAGACCGGCAAGTTCGTCTTCACTGAACGTCCACACGACCGCAACCGGGGCCTCGTTCTACTACGTTTTGGACACGCCGAGTTCCTCGAAGGCACCGATGCCTAGTATGTCTCAAGACCCGAATCGCCAAGTACCATGACAATACGAGAACAACTACCATCGACGTGCATTTTTCCAAGTACCACTACCGTTGACCCTCGAAGACTCCATGGACGTCAAGTTTCTCGCTGTGCCCCTGAACATCTACGGAGACTTGTGAGACTAAGAACGTCAACGACTACCGTCGCCACGAGAATGACTACTTCCCACAATGAACCGTGAACAACCACTTTCTCTACCATCGCCGAGTACCACTACTTCCCACGGCGATCGTGAACGACTACACCGCTTGACCCGAACCGCTCTGACAACGCACGCTTCGAAGGTATAACCCCGAGACGACCGCCCATGAACGAATGCATGTGTGATGTATGAGATGCTCGTGCTTGCTCCGTGCTCGAATTGTCGGTGCACGTTGCCCCTCTTTTGCCTTGTCACCATCATCGACTCATGGGACACCCGGTATCCGGGAGAGCCCCACCATCTTTTGCACGCACCCGCACACTTCTCCTTTGCATCGGTATCTCAATCGAGTTACCGAAACCGGAACGCTGCCGTGGCACCGTTTTCGTTATCGTTGCCGTGACACCCCTTTCCTTTCCACCACGGTGACAAGTACTTCATAATGCTCTTGTCAAATTTTTAATAAAAATTGCATAAACTTGATCATGTCATCTGCATCATGATAACAACAATTAAAATGTTTAAATTGTTGTTGCATTAAATTGCTAAATGCATATGGGGATTTACCGGATTTGTTGTTTGTTATTTCCGGCCTCATTTAAACTTGCCTAAATGTTTAGTTTACTTATGCTCCACCTCTTGCCATGTTTAAACAACACTTAATTTTGTTGAGTACCTAACCGAGAGAGTACTAAATAATTGATGTGGTGTTTCATCAATATGCATCCCGATGCATATTGAGCTCCACTTAATTTGTAGTATTGTTTGTTGCACTTTGTCATGCCATGCCTCATTAAACCGGACATGCATCATACTTGTTTGCGCATCGTGCCATGCTTATGTGATGATTGTTTACTATGTTGTTTGATTTCTTTCCGGTGTTGCTTCTTCGGGTTAGTTCCGATAACGTGCGTTTGTGAGGATCCGTTGGCTACGTCTGTTTGTCTTCCTCATGGACTCGTTCTTCTTCCTTGTGGGATCTCAGGCAAGATGACCATTCCCTCGAAATCACTTCTATCTTTGCTTGCTAGATGCTCACTCTTTTGCTATGCCTATGCCACGATACCTACCACTTGCTTATCATGCCTCCCATATTGCCATGTCAAGCCTCTAACCCACCTTGTCCTAGCAAAACCGTTTTTTGGCTATGTTACTGCTTTGCTCAGCCCCTCTTATAGCGTTGTTAGTTGCAGGTGAAGATTGGAGTTTGTTCCTTGTTGGAACATGGATATTTGTTGGGATATCACAATATCTCTTATTTAATCAATGCATCTATATACTTGGTAAAGGGTGGAAGGCTCGGCCTTATGCCTGGTGTTTTGTTCCACTCTTGCCGCCCT